TGCCATCATGGATCATTCTCATGTGTAAATGTTTCCAGAGAAGAATCAAAGGAAAACAGTAACCGTCGGTGAATCACAGGAGACACAATGGCCATAGTTAATGTTTGATGAGAGTTTATTTGATAATGAAAATTAGTTATTTCTGTGGCATACAACATTTTAACATAATAACTAGACAACAAGAGTATTGCAAATTTCTATGAACTTCATACAATTTCTGGAGTATCTGTATTGGTAACATTGATCCATACGCATATAACCTAAAAGATTTATCATCACTCCTTTTTTCATACAAAACTTCAGGTTTCATTGTTACTTATTCTTAGATTGTGGGAGCTGATGTCAAGAGCTTAAAGACAAGCAATAGCTTTCTTACCTCTTAGTTGGACAAAAATAAACACATGGCATCTGTGTTAGGCAAGACTTGCTTTTTCACTTTTCACATTTCACATGAGAATTTCTTGGACAAAATGACCACTTTCTAAAGAAAACCATGTTTGTAGGAAGTGTTTAATAAGCATATTTTATTTAAATAAATCCTCCAGTGGGAAATGGAGAATTCATTGCCTTTACTTCGAAGAAGACTCTGTAAAGTTATCTGTCAAATTTATCTGTGCAGCTCACCAACATGTTACTGGAAATAATATTTCCACATCACAGTTCCCAAAAGGCCTTTAAAGTCTCAAAATTCTTTCTCTTTTGGCTCGTTTCTCTCTTGGTTTCCCCGACTTTATTAGTAGTTCGCTTTGTATTATCATCTCCATGTTCATAAATTTCCTTTAGAACATGCATCAATCATCCGTAGGAGGGCGTTTCTTTCCCTTTTCAACCCAAGTCAGGTAGTCCCACACTTGTTTTCTGCTTTCTTTCTACATAAGATAACCACTGCATCTGTCTTAACTTTTTTTTTTAGATTTTTTTTTTTTAGTTTCAGGTGTACAAAACAATGTAATAGTTAGACATTTCACCCCTCACAAAGTGATAGCCCCTCCCCCAATCTATTGCCCCTCTGACATCATATATAGCTGTTACAGTTCCATTGACTGTATTCCCTATGCTGTACTCCATATCCTGTGACCATATATATATATATATGAAATTATAACCACTGTCTCTGTCCTGACTTTTTTTGAACTGCCTTCTACAGAGATGGTTTCAAGAGATTGTCCAGAGTCATTGAGTAACTCTTCCCATTGAAATTCTTTACCAAAAGATCAAATGACCTCTCTGTGACATACACCAGCATGTTCTCAGTGGGGACTTGATAAGCTCCAGTTAAGGCAATGCAGACTTTCACAAACCTACCTGATCAATCCCATTCATCCATAATTACTTATCTTCTGCATATCCTGTTGTAATGGGAACAGCCACTGCAGCTGGTTTTTCATTGTCAAGAAGTTTTGCTTTCTTCTGTGATTTCTGCTTTGTCTTCTTGATTTCTGCCTTAATCTTGGATTTTTCAGCTATAAGGGCGCCATGCATTCTTTCTCTGGTGGCCTCTCCAGCAGCACCTTGGCCCCTTTCTGTGGCTCTTCCCCCGCTGAAGCCATGGTCAGGCTGGGTCAGGCGAGGCCCGAGCTGCAGCCCTGCCTTGGCATGAACAGGAAACGCCTCACAGCCTAAGTTCCAGCGCCCACAGCCTCTGTCATCACTTCTTATTTGACAATGCTTCCCACATAATTCAACATACCAGATAAACCTAATTAGCTTAACATCTCTTTTACAAGGTGAGAGATTTTCCAGGAGTTGGCTTGAAGTCAAAAAGACTCCAGTTAGAAACTTAAAAAAAAAAAAAGACTAGTTAGAATTTGATTTGCAAAGTTGTCAAAAATGTCAAAAGGTTTGAACACAACTAAAAAGGATCACATGTCACTGCGAAACAATACTTATCCATTTAACCAAAGTGACAATTAAAAGATTTCAAAGGCAGGGCCGGCCAAGTGGCGCGTTGGTTGAGAGCTGGCTTGGGATGCCAGAGGGCCGCGGTTCGGATCCCACATATGAGAGCCAGTGACACTGCCCTCCACAGCTAAGATGGTGAGCAGCAGCTCAACCTGGAGCTGGGCAGCTGTGAGTCACCAGCGACGGCGTAGGCTGCAGCCCCTGCTGCAGTGGGTTGCCATGGACTACCGTGTGTAGCTAGCAGCCAGCGTGAGCGGCCAGCAGCCACCGAGAGCGGCCAGCAGCCACCGAGAGCGGCCAGCAGCCGCAGTGAGTGGCCGTCCAGAAGCCGGCGACTGATCTGCCTCACCTGGGAAGAGCGCAATGATGGTGCCAACTTGGGCCAGTGAAGCGACGTCCTCCACAACTAGACTGAAGAACAAAAGGACAGCAACTTGTCTGTTCCCCTTCCCCCAATTCCCCAGTGCTGTTCCCATCCCCCCCCAAAAAAAAGATTTCAAAGGCAAATACAGAAAGTTATATATTTGTACACACAAAAAAAAACTTAGCTCTTTTAATAATGAGAAGATGGTTTTCTTAAGTAATCAAAGACCTGATAAAAACAACATGAAGCACAGGAAATTACTTTAAGACACAAAATCTTGCTTTCCTTGGCAGATTACTTAAAAGGTAAACAAAAATCTGTTTTTAAACAATTTCTTATTAAGAGCAGACCAATAATCTAAGAAAATTGTGTTGTGTTAACAACAGAGAGAAAACTAAGTTCTAGTTTTGCATCAGTGTACTATTACTACTAAGGCTAATATTTTTTAAAAACTCATATAAATAAATCCATCCAATCTTAGACAGCATCGACCACACAAGAAAAATATTCCTTTTCCATGATGCCTTTTACACAAATCTTCTAAAAAAAAGTTGTTTTTTTTATCCATTCAGTTTTTGTCTTACCCTACTCTTTTCTTCTTTCTCATTCTGAAACAATCCATCATTCCACTTTAGGACAAAATTACTCTCTTTCTACCCGCCCCCCCCCAAAAAAAAAATATTCTTCATACCTCTCCTTATTAAAAATGTATCTGCCTTTCTTTACATGCAGAATTTTTTCCTTTATCCTTATTTCTAGTATATTCATTTACAGTATTGATTAGAATTTTTAACCATTAGTAGCCCTCATTTTCAGTGAAAACTAAGAAGCAGGTAATTGTGAACTATCTGCCACATACTATCATTCTGTAACAAATTTATGAATTCATGATTTTAAATTTTTCAGGAGGCATATGTCTTTTTCACAGCACATTTTCTCATATTTACTAACAGATCTAAATATATTTAGTTTCTCTATACCATGTAAAAGCAGGGTCCAAAAGTAAATAAACTTAAACTAATATTCATCAATTAATGTTTCAATATTTAATCTTATTTGGAAAGGATCTAGATAGTCAATGAATATCTATCATTAACTCAGCTTAGTATAGCTTTAAGGTTCAAGTTATCACAAAGCTTTTTGCAACTATTTTTAAGTAGACATATCATAAAGCATAAGAACCATTGAAAAGTTTATTTATAAACTTTTGTCCCATTTTCATCTGTTTAATTCACTTGTTCTTATAATTATACTTGAATTGCTCATGAAAATTTCATCAGACATTAAACAAAGCTAACCATTATAAGTTATTATTTTTCTTGTTGACAAATCAAGAAAACATCACAGAAAAAAATCACAGGAGCAAAACCCTAAAGTTAAACGTATGGCTCTTCCCTCTTTTTTAAATTTATTTTTACTGTCATGGTTGACATGCATCAAGCAATTCCTTTTCATTGTACATTTCATTCTGAGTTTAATTTATAGTGCTATAATTGTAAACATCTAGTAGAGATTATATAAGCTTGTTTTATCAGCAAACCTAGGTAGAAAAAAAAGTCTTTTATATTTAATTATATTTAATTCTGAAAACTCTGAAGAGATGCCTATTTTACTTTACCAACAATTTTAAAATTAGCTTCATTTACCAAAGAATATCCCAGATCATGTGAACTTAAAAAAACACTTGGGTTAGTTTCTTTATTTCAGAGAGTTTTAGAAAAACTTGGTTCATATAAGGTCTCACTGCCTTCTAAGTTAATTCGAATAGAACTCCTTTGAGGATGTTTATAAATTAATTTGGTAATACCATTTGGAGTTGAAAACATATCACATGTGCATAGCATACGTACATACATAAACATACAGACAGATGAAAACAGATCTTATAGCTTTCATTCTAAAATTTTTGTCAAGTCAGTAAAACAGTAATAGGAACTCACTGGTTTATCACCACTTTATATCTTGATCTGAATTGTGTTTCCAGCAAATGGGACAAGTTAAGGTTCTATGTATGCCAGTATTTGTGGAGACGTTTAAGATTTTCTTTTGCCCTGATATATAATCTGATGGAAGCTGCTTTAATTTTAGGCTCGTGACATCTGAATGGACAAAACCTATACATTTCTGTCTCTAAATAGTTTTATTTTCTCTTTTTAGCCTCGGATAGTTGCTTTTGGAGCTCCCCGAGTAACTTGAGAGCCCCTGATGGAGGGTAGAGACATTTAAAATTCAAGGGGCTGTAGGGAGCTGAGGAGGAGAGGGAACAGAAAAGTCTGGCAGGGCAAACAGACGAATGGGGGAGGCAGGGGCTTGAAGGGGGGCATAGAAAAGGGAACTGGAGGAATCTTGGAGATGGTAAGAGAAGGAAGCGGGGGCACACAGTGGGAAGGGAGAGGTCTTAGAGGAGCTACTTTGGGGACATCTCAAATTTTCCAAAGAGGCCACTGAGGTTCCAAATTTTCCTCAGCAAACTCATCATGCCAAGAAGAAAAATAGCAGAGTCTGCAGAGCATAAAGTCAGTGGAGATACAAGAAGGGGGTTTCAATTGACTGAGAAGTTCCCATGGGAGAAGCAGAATTCAACAGAGAGAACAGAGTGACCTCCTAGAGAGCCAAGAAGAAAGACTTTTACATCACAGAGTCAGGGAATAATTCCCACTCAGGAAAGCAAGCCAGGAAGAAGAAACTTCCAGCTTAGCAGGTACTTTTCACACAAAGAAGCCAGGGACTCCAACTCAGCTTCTTACAAACAGAGAAACCCTGGGGCTCTAACCCAATATCTGTTTGCCTGGGACTCTAACTCAGCTCCTGGAGTATAGTCAGAATCTTAGGAATCAAAGTCTGCCTGTACCAGCTTCAACAGTCTGTGGAGCGTTGGTTCAGGAGTCAGGTTCTCCAATGGATCCCGGATCAATCAGTCAGGGGTGAAGACAAAGACTTCAAAGGTGTGCTCTGGGGTCCTGGGTGAGCTTTCCAGTGGTGAGTCTGATCCTATCCAAGTTACCACACCAAAACTGTTAAAAAAAAATTTGTGACACTTGTTAAAAATAGTAAGGCAGGCTTCATTCATACTTTATTCCCTTAACCATCAAGATAGATAAGGAAGCATGGTGATGGGATTTTACATTAAGGGAGAGATGTTGGGCTTAAGTTGGAATACAGCATGTGCAAGTAGGAATGTATAACCAAGGAGCAGGTGGGGGGCGGGGAGTGGATGGAAAATTACTAAGAGGAAACATCAGGGCTAAGAGGGTTCTGGCTAAACCTACCTAACAAGATTCCTACTGAAGACAGGCCAGGGTGATCAGACATCACTTGGGAGTGGTGGGGGACAAGGAGCCTGATCAGATACGGAGGGTGAGGAGTTCTCATTAGACTCACTTTATCGGGGTTCTTGCTAAAACCAGATTTTACAAGCAGGGCACAGACGGGCCTAGGAGAAGTTTCAGGAGCCTGGTTAAAGTTTGGTCAAGCAAAGAATCTGTGAGTGAATTTATTTTAAAGAGGAAAAAAATAATAAAATTAAACAATGAGGAATCCCAAAGATAAAAGTTCACATTTTTTTAAATTTAATTCAATACCATCCTGCCAGGATTCGTGAAAAGTCTGATCCCCCCAAAATCATGTAACCTTCTGCCTTCAGAGAGATTAGCAAGGCCCCAGGATGGTCTCAGTCCATGAAAGAAGTCCATGAAAGGAAGTAATCCAATGAAAAGAGGGAAACATCACGCTGTAAGAATGCTGATAACTCATCAAAATTGACCTAACCCGAGTCCCCCACCCTGAATCATTTTCAGCAGCTCAAATATCCTTAAAGGTTTTGTAGCTGAAAAAAATATTGACTTCAGCATTAATTTCCTAGAAGCTCATAATAGAAGTTTCTCCCCCATGGCACATGATCAAGCAAGAAAACTACCTTGGCTTTTCAATCAGTTAGGCCAAGATTCAAATCCTGACCTTCAACTTGGCCATGTGATTATGGGCAGGTCTCCTAACCACTCTGAACCTTGTTTTCTCACCTGTAAACTTGGAATCATTACTGTACCTACCCCACAGAGCTGCTTTGCTGATGAGATAAAAATAACGCTTTAAAGTGCTTAGCAACTTGCCTGTCACACAGTCAACATTTAACAAATAGAAGAAAACTGAAATGATGAGATAAGTGAGGGGAGCTGGCAAAGTCCAAAACAAGTGTATAGAATCCTAAGATATAAAGTACCATGGGTTCCAGGTGATGAATCAGCTCAGCAAAGCAGCACACACACCAAGTCTCTAAAGAAATGAAGAAGGCTGAGAGAAACCTGGCCTAGGATTTGCAGACAAAATGGAAACAGCCCCACCCTTTTGTGTTTTCCCCTCAGACACGTGAGACGAGTTCATGAATAGACAGAAAAGAAGAAGGACAAGCGCTGCCCAGGCCTTCCAATGTGGGTTCTGCCTGAGGAGTCCTGTGGTATTGAAATAGAATTTACGATCGAGACTTGTCCAGAGCAAGACATTTGCTTGGGGAACTTCTGGTCAGAATGATGTTTAGGAAACTGGTAAGACCTTAAATAAGTGGCAATAAAATAAAAAGTTGGGCAAAAAGATGAAAGGAGACTGACCGCCTTCCATGCTGATTGAGAGCTGCAGTCCATGAGACTGGCCTTGTTACAGATGGATTCAGTTCTTGCTGGAAAGTTCCTTGGCCTTGTTGAGCTTGGCCTGGGGTACTCAGGCTTGGCATGGTTTTCTCCAGTAAGATTCTGTCTTTCTGGAAAAAAAAAAAAAGCAAAACAGTAAAAAGAGGGGGAAATATATAGTGAGAATGCCAAAGAATGTCCAAGACTATGAATCATGGGGGACAGAATTCCTGAATTTATCTTTCCCAAAGTTATTTTTATCAAGGAGAAAGAGATTTCCTTCTTGAGCCCCTGTATGTACAATTTCTTATAGCACTTTCTTATGAAGTTCCTGCTCGTGTTTCATTTTTTAACATATAGACAATTCAAATATCTGCTTCTGTCTCTGTCAGTTTTCCTCTCATACCCATGCAGCCGTGAGAAGCATTTGAACAGGCCCAGCAAATGGAGCTAATAACTCCACATAGTTATGTCCTATGCATTTTGGAGGCTGAGGTATGAGGACTGAATATTGTAAACACGATGCAGAAAATGGCTCCTGGTGTTCTGAAGGTTGCAGTTCATGTAGTTGTAGTAACGTATCCATCAAGTGTCCTGGTTTCCTGCCTCCCTGAGGTGACCAAGAGGGAAGCAACAGAGAGCATTTGTAATGTGCTGTATCCATCTCCACCGAAGGTACTGCCAGCCACAAGCATCCAACAGCCCCACTGAGGAAACATGGCCGAATCTCCCACCCAATGTTATAGGAAACAGGACTAGAAAACGAAGATGGCTGCAAGTTGGTCAAGAAAGTGAGATCCTGTCTCACCATGCATATGAGATTTCAGGACCATTTAATGCACAGAAGGGTTGAGGATCCCTTAGACAAATGGAATAAAATAAATGGACTAATAGTAGTGTAGAAAAATATTTTATGTTTCAATGGAAAGCTAGGCATACCTTTCTATTGCACACCCTTCCAGGTTATGAGATTCTAGCCCTGCTCATTTTATTTAAGTTATTTCATAAGGCTTTGTAAGTTGAAGGCAACTGATGGATATATAAATTTCTATCCTGTCTGGTAGTGATTTAATTGACCCTACCTCCCCAACGGTTCTTAGCATTTTGGAAAAAAACAGTTTTGTCTCCACTTGCAATTCATCTCAATATTTCTTTACTTGTGTAAATTGCTGCTGTTTTGATTTTTCCCTTGAAACAGTTATTACATGTTGAATAGTATCCAAAAAAAAAAAGATATGTTGAAGTCCTAACCCACAGTATCTGTGAACATAACCTTATTTGGAAATAGGATCTTTGCAGATGATTGAGTTAAGATGAGGTCATTCGGGTAGGCCCTAATCCAATATGCCTGTGTCCTTATAAAAAGGGGGAATTTGGACAAAGAAACAGACATGCACACAAGGAAAACTCCATGTGAAGAAGAAGGCAGAGATCAGGGTGATGCATCTACAAACTTAGGAAGGCCAAGGATTACCAACAAACCACCAAAAGCTGGAAGAAAGCTATGGAACAAACTCTTCCTCAGAAGGAACCAGCCCTGCTGACATCCTGATCTCAGACTTCTGGCCTCCAGATCTGCAAGAGAGTAAATTTGTGTTGTTTAAGCCACCCAGATTGTGGTAGTTTGCTATGGCAACCCTAGCAAACTAATAAGCCAGTTGTAACAGCTGCCTAGTTTCCTTATATCATATGAGCAAAATAAATTCTTTATCATGTTCATTTTATATCTGAATGAGAGTCATGACTTTATCTTTTGCTGAAAGTTATCTTTTAATACAATAAGTGGATCTTCTCCTGTACCTCTCCATTCCTAAAGACTTCTCAGCCAAAACTAGAAATCTTTCATTTTCTCACGATGGTGACATTTCAATAAATAAAGCCTTTCATTATTCTAAGGACTGACCCTGAATTTTTTTTTTCATTGAATTGTTGGGTTGCATAAAGGCATCACAATATATTATATCTTTTTAAAAACAACTTATAATTGTAAACTTAACTAATCAAATGCCTCTCCTCATTCAGATGAAAGGCTGGTAAGGAAATGAAGTCCTCACAGCTGCCAGGCCCTGGGCTGGGCACTTGGCATTCTGGGTGATATTTTTAAATGCCTACCCAACACCCTCCTTCAGTGTTAAAAGAATTCCAGAGTTGGACCAGTAGTGTACACTTTTCCCCCCACAAGTCTCAGGGAAGGGGATCCTATCCCAACTTTCCCCAGAAGTAAAGTCTGACTGCTCTGAGACTTCCACGGTGGTCCCAGTCCTTTTTCCAGAGATTGATCAGACATGGCTAGGAGGTGGCAGCAGAGAAAGAGATTCCAAAAGGAAAGGTTACATGCTCTTAAAAAAGAGCTATGAGGGGAAATGCAAACCCATTTTATGAGTCTACATGTGATGCCTGGAACCTTGGCATCCATCTGGTGATCATGAGAGCAGCTAGCTTGACTAAGGACAAAATTTGTCACACCAAATATGACAGAGCAGAAAGAAGGAAAATTCCAGGTTTCTTGATAACATTTTTGAGCCACTGAATTCACTAAGTCTGGAATTGGTCTTCCTCAGGACTTCCTAATATGTGAGATAATAAATTTTCTGATTGAAGCAAGTTGAATGGGGGAGTTTTCTCTTCCTTACATCCAAAAGCATCCTATACCCCGTAAGATATCTGTGAACATTCTCATATTACAGATGAAAATCTGAAGCTTGGAGAATTTATAACTTGTATCAAAGGTAACCTATCCAAGGTCACACATAAGACAAAAACTGTATCCAACTCAAATTTCAGACCCATTCTCTCTGCACTACCACTTACCTCCCCTATTTATTACTGGTCACTGAAAGAAGATTAATTTCTCCTGGTTTTGTTTGTTTGTTTTTATCATTTAAAATGTTGTAGGAAGCCGTAGGGCTTAGTGGTTAAGGGCAAACTTTGGTGTCAGGCATACCTGCATTTACATCTGCCTCTGTGTGACCTTAGGCAAGCCACTTAACCCCTCTTAAGCCTTAGTTTCCTCATATGTAGAATGGGAATAGCAATTACTATATCACAAGATTGTGATGAGGAATATATATATATATATATATATATATATATATATATATATATATATATATATATATATATAAAACTTAGCACAGATCTTGGCACATTATATATACACAGAACAAAATTGGTGGCTGCTATGATTTCTATTATTGTGCCATGCAGTGTTGCCCTACCTCTTTAATAAGCAGCTGGCATTTCGATTGTAAAGAGAGCATCTTGTTCCCCATACACAGAGTGGTGTCATCAATTTTACTCCAGACTCAGTAGAGACTGCTAAAACTGTGAGCCCCTCCTCTCCCTGCCCAGACAGCCACCATCAGAAGAGCCCAACCCCCCCCTC